ACACTGTGTTCTGGTCACGAAATTACTGTTACTGCGGCAGGAGGCCATAGAATATCTTCAATTGGGTACATACTTTTGCCGATAACTTTCGAGAACAAATTTTCTATAATTAAGGCGCATGTTATCCCTAAAATCGAGACCATGCTAATATTGGGCATCGATTTCTGGAAAATTTTTAAAATATGTCCAAAATATCTAAGTAATGCCGGTAACCTGTTTACGGGCGACCCTGGCTTGTCTGTTCTTGTTAATGACTCCGACTTACATTTACACTCTTACGAAAACCTTGATGAATCTCAAAAGTTAATTGCTGATGATACAATCAAGAAATTTCAAAGCATATCTTTTGCTGAGAGAGGTCTGGGTAGGACTAATTTAATAACACACCGCATTAACACTGGTAATGCAGAGCCAATTCGACAGCGTTATTATCGAATGTCGCCAGATAAAGTTAGGGTCATCACCGAACAGGTTGACGAAATGTTGGCTCTGGACGTAATTGTGCCTTGTGAGAGTCCATGGTCATCTCCGGTATTGGTAGTTGGTAAAAAGGATGGTAAGCCTCGTTTTTGTCTAGATAGTAGAAAATTAAACGCTGTAACTAAAAAAGACGCGTATAATTTGCCATATGTATCTGAAATTCTGGATAACCTTAAGGATGCTAAATTCTTATCTAGTATAGATTTATCTAAGGCATTTTGGCAAATATTGATTGATGAACCGGATCGTGAGAAGACCGCATTCTATGTTCCTGGGCGAGGCACTTTTATGTTCAAGACAACTGCTTTTGGACTTACCAATGCACCAGCTACTCAACAAAGACTAGTAGATCTTCTCTTCGGCCCCGAATTTGAATGTAAGGTATTCTGTTACCTTGATGACGTCATAGTCATTAGCGAGACTTTCGAAGAGCACGTCTGCCTACTTAACCGTGTTTTTGAAAAACTTAGCTCTGCAAATCTCACCATCAATCTCGAAAAGAGCAAATTTTTTAGAAGTGAATTAAAATATCTCGGTTACGTCGTTGATGCACAGGGTTTAAGAACTGACCCCGAAAAAGTAAAAGCTATACTTGACTATCCAACTCCGACCACTAAAAAAGAGGTTAAGCGTTTCCTCGGAACTGCATCATGGTATAGGCGCTTTATACCACAGTTTAGCACAGTTGCAGGCCCATTAAATAGACTCACTTCAACTAAAAAAAATGCTCCAGCATTTTGCTGGACATCTGATGCCGAAAAATCATTCCTAGATTTAAAGACCCGTTTGGTACAAGCACCAGTGTTGGCTTGTCCTAATTTTGAGTGCCCATTTGAGGTGCATACTGACGCCAGTAACTTCGGAGTTGGTGCCATGTTGGCGCAAACTATTCATGGTATTGAACATCCTATTGCATATATGAGTCGATCTCTTACAGGGCCTGAAAGAAATTATAGTACTACTGAGCGTGAAGCACTCGCAGTGTTAGTTGCACTTGAACATTGGCGATGTTACCTTGAAAACGGTAAGACGTTTAAGGTTTTTACTGACCATTCTGCACTTAAATGGTTTATGTCGCTATCAAACCCAACTGGACGATTGGCTAGATGGGGTGTTCGTCTCTCCTCGTTCAATTTCGAGGTCGAGCACCGTCGTGGGAAAGATAATGTTGTTCCTGATGCTCTATCTAGATGTGTAATTGTTGATGCCATCCATCACAATAGTACTTCTACTACTGGTACTCCTACTCAAGACAAATGGTACCTTAATATTTTCAACGGTTGTCAAGATATACCTACTAGCTTTCCAAATTATCGTGTTGAGGGAGATGTCTTATTCAGATATATGAAGAATAAAAATATCCTTACATCAGAATTTGACTGGAAAGAGGTAGTTCCTCAAGAATTACGGCAATACACCTTAGCGCAGTGTCATACGGAACCTATTGCTGGGCATTTTGGAGTGTTTAAGACATATAAGCGCTTAGCACTTCGATTTTACTGGCCTGGTATGTATGGTGACGTTGTGGACTTCATAGCTAATTGCGATGTCTGTTTAGCATATAAATTGCCTACACATGGGACACTTGGAAAAATGGGACGGCCCAAGGATGTTTCTCGACCTTTCCAGGTTCTTTCCATTGATTTGGTAGGACCACTACCAAATACTAGAAGACAACACAATTATATCTTTGTTGTGACTTGCTGTTTCTCAAAATATTGCTTGTTATTTCCTCTTCGCAGAGCCACGGCTGATATTGTATCGAGACATTTGGAGAATGATGTTTTTATGGTTCATGGTATTCCCCAAACTGTCATTCTCGACAATGGATGCCAATTTATAAGTCGAGAATTAGACAGTTTGTTTAAAAAATATAGAGTGCCGAAGGTTCATTTTACTCCTAAATATACACCTCAAATGAACACCGTGGAGAGGTACAACAAGACTATCGTGACTGCTATATCTAGTTTTGTCAAAGACGATCATAGATCGTGGGATCTTCACTTGCCTCAAATACAGTTTGCAGTAAATAATTCAATTAACGAAACCACCGGGTTCACACCTGCGTTTTTGGTGCACGGCAGGGAACTGGTAACTTGTGGATCGCATTATATTGACAATGACTCCAATGATCTCATTTTCTTACCTCGAGACGCATATGCTGAAAATTTGGGTCATTTATCAAATATATTTGACAAAGTTCAAATGGCTATTTGGCACGCTCATCAAAAAAACTCTCAGCGTTACAATTTGCGTCGAAAAGAGTTTGAATTTAATGAAGGTGATATTGTTTGGAAGAAATGTTACTTCCAAAGCGATAAAGACGCTCACTTTAGCAAAAAATTAGCTCCAAAATACCAAAAATGCCGCATTACCGCCAAGCGTTCTCCACTGGTATATGTTTTAGAAGACATGGATGGTCGTGATGTAGGTGTATGGCATATCAAAGACCTCAAAATTATCGGAAGACAAACAAAGTAGATCTAGATTATTTGTATTTAATTATTTCTTTATTCGCTAATGGATTTTATTAGAGTAAAATCCTTTCCCAAGGGAGGGGGTACTGTAACGTAGTGTATAATACATTACATTATTACATTATCAATTTTCAACACGAGATAATTTAAAAAAAAAATATAATTATTAAATATTTTTTAATAATAAAATAAATTATAAATATTCAATATTAAAAAAAAAATAAGAAAGTTTTGTATAATCATAGAAAAGATATATTCGTTATATGTTAGACGGAACCTTCAATTTCTACGTTCTTTCGCAATGGTTTTACTGCGCTTGTTTGTGACTCGACGCATCGCTAATACTGTAGGTAATAAATGCAAGCCGGTTCTGGCTCGCCGCTGATAGCAAACTGAGCGGTCACAAGACGACTAACCGTCTCACTAACTAAAAGTTGAATTTTGAACGCAACGTATTTAACGTTTTCGATTTTCTTATTAGTTATTGCTGTAAAATAATTATCGAACTGTATTTGTTTCCTGTCCAGAGTACTCTTAGTATTATTACAGTATTACCGAAAGCTGTGTACTTATAAAGTTTAAGTTCAAGTGTTTTATATTCCCATACTGGGTAAGTTGTGCAAATTCTTTTATTAAGTAGTAACTATGTTAAATGGTGAAGTTTAAATGTTGGTATCGTCTGCGTACTACCAAGATAATGCTTATTGTAATTGAGAAGCGAGTGAATTTAGTATGTACCGTTGTATATTACCTATATGTAGGTGGTTTCATTATTTTTTAATAGGTTAATATTTTTTTGCTATTATCTTTAAATTATAGATAATAATGAGTAATCATTAGTCCCGCATTAAGTTGTATTTTGTTTCTTAAGCTTAGTTACTAGTTTCATCATTACATTTGACTGGCTACCGTTCTGAATAAATCATTCAAGCTGCTTTAACCACCTACACTTTCTTACGCCTTTTTACTAGCTTATTCAGTTTTCCTATAATGCTTCACAGTCCTTAGGTCGATTAAAGCCTGTCAGTATAAATCGTAAACCATCTATACGGTACGATTTCAGGAGCTTCGTAGGAGTTCAAGCCAAGCCAAGCCAGCTGACCACTACTGCTTGTGTTATTCCTACCTACTACCGCTAATTATTCGTGCTTCGAGCTTCGCTTCGATTAAGATCATCCACTACTACTCGAGCTGATCTAGTATCTACTACGGCAACTAATAACCTCGCTTTGTACTACGCAACGAAAAGAAGCTGGACGCTTAAAAGAATAGACCAAGGAGAGTGGTATTTATGGGACAGAGTGGACTGTCGTTTAAGCTGTGACCTGGCTTTAGGACCCAACCCGAGTTCTACCTTCTTTTATATATATATTTTTTTTAATAAAAAAACAAAGTTAATTATATTTGCTGCGTTTTTCTTTGTCTTTTTATTTTGTCTTTTAAATATATATGACACAAGATAAACGTGACAGTTTAAACATCAGAAATATGGATTTCTGTGAAAAGGAAATGAGGAGGCAAATAGGAATAGACATGAGCGCCATGTCTAAACTAAATAAAATATTGAGACAACTCAATATCTCACGTAAGGCAAAAAATAAACTATTCAAGACATTGGTTATCTTCGAGCAACCTATGGTGACAAGTAAACGACCGAGAGGATGGTCAGACCTAATTCGCTCATCGTTGGACAGCAGTCTTCACAAGGCCCTCCTTGTAATTATTTCATGTAATAGACCGAAAGAAGTGGAGAGAAATAGTCAGAAAGATAGTCATTCTGTGAGAGAGTCATGATCCTCAGGAAGAGTACGATGCGAAGAGAGAGTGCATGTGCATTGGTTTGCCTATGAGTAAGCGAAGTTTATGTTCTTACTGATCAATCAACCGCACCACTATTACTATAATGGGGATATCTTCTACTTGGTTGGTTTATTCTAGCACTCGGGCTGTCTAAACAGTATGCCTTTTTAGATGGTACTACTTAACCTATGATATTTCTTTATTGTTTTCGTGTTCTTACCTTTTTATTATATTTTTACGAAGGGAACGAGCAAGAAGACGTAACTGTGAACTAGACCGTGGTGATTTATCAGTGGTTCGGTTGTCGCCCGTGAAAAACAAACCGCGAGCCATGAGCTTGGTGCGATCCCCACGACCACCACCAGTGCTGGAGCTGGACACCGTGTTAGAAGAAAAATCAGACCCAGAACAGACCACGCTATCACAGGTAGGAATTATTACATTATTTATAATACAAATTATATTTTCGGTATTGTACATCTCCGCCCAGAATAGCTAAAGGTTCGTGTATATCGCCAGACATTGAGCACGCCAGACACCAACAAATATTGACGGACACCGTTTGCTTCATTAACAATTCGCGGCATATATGTAGCTGTCGCACTAACTGATTAAAACGGCCTTACACTTGGACGGCTAGCTAGTCTTCTAGTTAAATCGCTATGACGCTTAAAATGTGCAATAGTAAGGCTGATTTAAAAGCCTTATAATATCGCTTGTTTCGTTTTATTTACAAAATGGCGTCAACAGACAATCTATTTCTCTTCTCTTCATTTCTCCTGTCTGGTGATGGTCCCGTCTCGCCCCTTCTTCAGTCTTTACCGCCTCGACGTTAATAGACACTGTATAGAATAATATTCTTTTGTCTATAGCGGCACTTGTTTAGCGTTCAATTTCTGTAATTAAAATTAACAAAAATCAATAAAAAATAAAAAATGAAAATATCTGAACAACTGTGCACGATTTCGTAGGTGGCACAAAATACGCTAACCGTACGCTATTGTCACTCGTGTAAAATTGAATCGAATCTCAAGTAAATTATGGAATTCATAATATCTGCATAGATAATAAATTAAAAACATCAATTATCTCACTTAACTATCTACGAGTATATTACGTCAGAAAATCATATTATTTAAAATGAGATCTGTACAGTCTTTAATTTTAGTAAAGTAAAAAACAAATTGCACAAAGACGTTCTAAAAATAATACAAAAACAAATTTCACAATACGTCACCTTGAATCCATAAGATAAACTCAAAACAATGTGTCAGTAAATTAACTAATATCTATCACGCGTTGTGTCTTGGCTTGATATCTTAATACCATCGCTAGTACAATACCCATTCGAGAAGAAATCCTTCACGAGATCCACATAATACAATTTACAAGGTTCCCATCCAAAAATATTCTCGGTCTAGGAAAATAATAATGAAGTTAACTCGAAAACGAATGTTGCTTATTGGGCTAACAGAAGTTATAACATAGTTTTATAAGTTTCGTCAGATTATTGCTAACATAAATTACGACCAATTTAGATTTAGTTTATCACGTAGTGAATTTATTAATGTACTAGCTTTTATCCGCGACTTCGTCCACGTGGTATAGTTACTTTGAGCAACATTTTTAAAAAAGGTATAATTTACATACCAGAAATTTAAGTTACACAACTTTACCTTTGACAATGACGAACTTCCATACAAACTTTAATTTCATCCTTTTTATCACAATGAAAAGCAACCTATGTCTTATCTCAAGTCAACAATTTTTTGTGGATTACGCATGAGAGCTTAATAGACATATTAACACACAACACACCTAATTTCGCTATATAATATTAGTATAGAACAATAAAACGATTTTCTTTGTCGCTTATTATAAGAGATTCTCAGACAGTTACCAAAAGAAATAGACAAAGAACAATATACATAACAATTGCTTGATCGACTTATAAACTCTTATAAGCTGTTTTTTTTTTCGTGTTTAAATTAAAAAGATTTTGTATGAATTAATGAAAACAACATTAAGATTAATATATTATGGATATGTCGTAGCAATTGGGTTACACAACCATTTTAATTCGCGACAAAAATTGCGACACTCTTTTACAGAGCTGTAAGGTGAAGCTTCATCAATAAATTCTCTAGCTAAATGAAAATAAAATACCCTCATGTACGAATAAAGGAACTGGAACTGCTCCGATTTATCGTTACGTTGAAAACACTATTCAAAAAAATATATCACGCTTGTCAAGTGCATATAACCTCGAAAAGAAAACCTAGTAGCCTACGGGTAATAAAGCAATAAATGGCATACCACTCTGAGAAATAAGGAGAACGTATATAAAACTTAATTCATGTCCAGCTAAGTAATTAAGGCCCCTTTAAAAATATGATCACAAGATTAACATCTTCTAAGCCCGAAGTCTTTCCGAAGACGATTATCTTGTGACAAATGTAATTACAAATTGGCGACGATGAAAACGGAATTCGAAAATCAAATTGGGAAATTAAAAATCAAATCGAACTAATCCTTTTAATGTTATTATATAACTATTATTAAAATATTCAACAATATACTATGTAAGATACCAATTAACTGAATTTAAAAAAAATATCGATACTTAATTTTCTTTTCAAATGATTTTATTTCTTATACATAATACCATAACGCATTAATGTAGTTCATGAGGACTACATATTTCCAGTAAATACAGTTACAGATGAAACGGTATATGTCTCGATACCTGCTCGCATATGATAGTTTTGTCGTAAGAAATTATAGAGGGAATTAAGAAGAGCAGTAATAATTACACTGTATGGTCAAATTATTATTAAAATAAAAAATACTTAATATTTTAAAGAAAGCAGTTTTCGCTGTGGCAGTACCAGCAATAAAAATGAATGCATATAGATTATTTTGTGCATATAGTTAGATGTGGCTTCAAAATTTAGTTGAAATTGCACTCTCCAAATAGATCTGTAACTTCATCAAATTGTAGGGTTTATATACAACAAATAATACGACAAGATTATGGGACTTTTTCATGATACAGACTTTAGACATCTTACCACAGAGTAAATAATGCAATGCTCATTAGTGAGTAACCGACTAAATACCAATACAAATACTTCACGAACTACTTGTTACTCGGTTCCAAGGTATCGATGCCAAAAGTACTCGCTATCCAAAGAAAAGTATCAAGTAAGTCATCATCAGCGTCATCATCATCAGCCGTAAGACGCCCCCTGCTGAGCAAAGGCCTCCCCCATAGTTCTCTACGACAATCGGTCTGGCCTGAAAATATATTTAAAGATCGTCGGTCTACCCTAATGGGGAGCCTACCCACTGAGCGGGGAATCAAGTAAGCACTTATACTAAATACATTTTCGACATTCACAGGTAGAAATAACTCCAGACCGTGAGGTGGGTGCTATCCTGTTTGGAGCTGTAGGAGCGATCGGCACAGCCGCCGCAGTTGGTTACGCTCGGGACAGCTAGCGTCGGGGCTCGGCCCAGCTCGGTGCTCGCTCGCCGCTCTGGGCTGCCCTAACTAGCCAACCGCTCGACGAAGACGAGGTCGACGATGACGCCGCTGAAGATAGCTAGCAAGAACTCGACGAGCGATCAGACGCCGTCGCTGATATCGGTGAACGCATGAAATTGTTCTTGGACATTCCGCTTAGATTCTAATACCGATCGATTTGTGCGACAACGAATTTCAATTCAACTCGACTTTAAGTTTATGTGGGATGTTGTTTTCCTTGACGAACGAATTTGGTCATTACCAGTTGACACACCCGACCCCTTGCTCTTGGCTATGCTCCAAAGCAATCTTCAATGGTAATGGTGTACTTATATAAAACCCGATAAGTTGATAGAAACGCTATCGACAAAAAGCTATAGTTTGGCAATTCTTATTGCCGATCTATAGTACCTACTTATACTATGAAATAACTGTTTACCATATAATTCAGTGCAAAATCATGTAATAATAAACATAGCAAACACTTTTTTTATTTAGAAAGGTGTCAATTGCAAATAAATTTATTACCTTAGTATGTAGGTTTATAAAATAGATTGTTTAATACATAGAAAAAGTGATTTTGTTTTATAGTTATAAAACATAATATTATTCGTACACATTTCTCCAACTTGTTAAATGCATTGAAAAATAATATTGCCATAAATAATAGCATTTATTCATTAATAAAAATTCTTATACTAAGATAGTTATGCTTTTGATACATATCTAGTTAATTAATAAAGCTTTATATTGTTTTTGGCTGGCATCGACTGAAAGCAGTTGCAGTAATTTAGAAAAAAATAATGTTGTAATTTTGGCACCATGTTATAAAAGCACGAGGTATTAGAAATAGATGATTAAGTAGACTATAGGAAATAAAAGAATTTATAAATGTTATTTATGAAAATGTAGCACGTAATATAGCTTATAGACACCTAATTAAAACAAACGACCAACGAGATCTTTGAATAAGCAATTGGGTTAACCTTAAAATTAAAGTAGGGAGTAGGAGAAAATGAAATTTCCTTATTACAATTATCACCTTCGTATTGCAGTGCTAATTCGTTATAAAAACAGCCTCGAACTTGTCGATGAACGAAGCGCTGACACGGCATAGAGGTTCAATAAAAAAAAAACATTATTGTCTTGAAGGATTGCTTTATGCAATGTCCCCGCTTGACAGGTAGCATTGGGTGTATGGGATTCTCCATCCGCACGGACCCGCCCGAAGGCTAGTCAAAACACGGATGGCATACGTATTATAACATCCGTGCACCTTATCATTTGAAGGAAGGTTCTGAGATCCAGCTGGGAGTGCTTCATAACGGAGGAGACTCGCGTGCATTAGAGCCTTCTCCCAGCCAGTCGAGAACAAGCAATGACTGGTGTCAATCATCTGGTCTACCCCTTAAGAGAGTAGAGTTGCGCTATTGAGCTATCCCTCCCCCTTCAATCGAATATTTTTTAAAAGTAAGTTTTAATCAAATAAAGCCTTCACAAGGTAATATAGGATTAATATGATTGAAGCTTTATGACTTGACAGCGGCACATATGACGACAAGTCGAAGCTGTTTTTAATTGAATTATTGTAATATCACAACCATCTCTTAGTTAACTATTACAATAACAGGTATAACAGGTAGCAACTCGTTTGAATTATATAATTTATTTTATATAAAAAAATATAAATATTTAATGTAAAGTGCTTAAAAATGTACTAGTGGCCTAATTATCTAATTTCAAAATTTATTACAAATCCTGTCAAAGGAATAGCTATTGAGATAGCGTTATTTGAAATTATGACACGTTTAAAGTCGCACTCGCTTTCGGAACAAATAATAATTTGAATCGCTTCAATTTAAAGAAATATTTATGTATAACGCTTCAGGGATGACGTTAGGGTAAAATAAAGAAACTATTTAGTCAGCCAGTCAGATAATAGAAAAATATTAGATACCTATTTTTTTTTTAATTTCAATTTAAACAAGAAATGGCTTAGAAAATAATAAGCACTAAAGTTGGGAATTGCGGGCTCACTGTGTCACAGCTTTGTAGAAAATGTACAAAAGCAGACGTCATGTAACATTCTCAACTCAATTTACCGCCATAGTTAATTGATTACGCAAAAAATAAAAAAAAATACGTGTTTAATATTCTTCAATAGTCTACCTGATGGACCACGTAATACATTAAAATAACGATTGAACGAACGATTCAATAGCTTTAAAAAAAAAACGCGGTCACAATATCACATGTCAAATAGTGAATATTGTCAAATTGTCATTCAAATGTTAAATTGAAAGGGATTGGAATTGATTTTAAAATTAGACTTTTAGGCCCTTAGCGTAGGATTCCCCGAGATGGCACTTGAATTAACCTTTCGCAATCCAGGCGAACTCTAAACAGAGGAGTCTCAACTGAACTGACGAATTTTTTCAAACACTTGTTACTTTTCGTTAGAAATGAGCCTACCCAAATTTTTGTTTATTAATTATTAAAGATATGTATACAATTGTGAATGCAAAATTTATCAAATATAATTTACAAAAAATTGTTAAATAAACTGAACATCCGTCTGTCATGAAAAATTAGTTGTTATTTAATGGAATAGAACTTCTGGTCTCTTTTATACATTAACTTTATTTAAAAATAATTAAGGGTTCTTTATCTTGTCACATTCTTAGATGGTAAGACTAGAACGGTCAAATTATAGAAATGTCGTGGCCAGATCGTAGAATCGACCAATTCATGAAATGGAAAAAACTGGCTGTCCACATCATGATGTGGCCTGACCAGATCAATGAATAATTTACATTTAGTGATATGTACGACTGATCGTATGACTGCTTCATTATGTGGCCAAGCATTAATGATCAATCGTAAAATCGTTTCATGAAATGATCAATTCTACGATATGGCCAGGACAGGAACATGATCATGTGATGAATGGAAAAAATGTTCTTTTATATTACATTAAGAGCGAACTTCGAGAGAATAAAAAGCTTTAATCCTGCCACTTAAACTTATTCCATAATTAATCATTTTAAAAAGTAGAATTGAACTTAAAAACTTACGCACAGACAAAGACTTAATTGCGTTTTTCAAATCATAAGGAAGAAGCTTTCAAAGCTTAGATATAAAATATTACATATATTTAACTCTATTTATTCAGTTTTTGGCGTGTTGTGTTTTCGATACGTTTATTTAATACTAGCTTTCCACTAGTGGCTTCGCACACATGGTCCTGTTTTATACACATAAACCTTCTTCTTTAATCATTCAGAGCGCTTAGTGTAAGTTTTTTTGACGTTTACGTTCACTGTCGATCGCGTTAAAATTTTATAGCGCGTTAAAATTTTAGTATGCAATCCGGTACAGCGCCCCTAGCCATAACTACCAAGAAATACAAATCTCCATACAAATTCTTAACGCTCTCACTAGTGAACGCGTTAGCGTAATACTTACACTTACCACTCTGTATATTGATTAAAACCGCATTAAAAGCCATTGTGTATTTTTAAAAATCTCAGCGTAGATGTTATTATTTCGTTCTGAAATAATCCGTCGATCGTACTGTTGATACGTTTATTGTTGTTAATATTTGTGTTAATTTTTCTTTTCTTATACAATAAAATGTTTATTCATCCATTTTTGTACGCCAGCGAAAGACAGTAAAATTGTAAACAGTGTGCAAAATAAATGTTGTGTTCGTTAAGGTAAAAAATACACACATTTCAATTTGTATATTTATTATATTTACATTTCTATAACTACTGTAACTGAAGATTGCTGATCGATCTAATATACTAAGAAAGATTTGACTGTACTAAGAAGGTTTGAAGATTTGACTATGAAGGCTCCGAAATTATTGAACCGCTTTTAAGAAATCATTTACCTACAAGAAGCTACATCATACGCGGATGACATAAGCTATTATTTAAGCAGGCAAATTAACAGAAAAACAACTAGTCGTCAATATACCAACAGTTAACTCAACACTTAAGATAAACATCAAAATGTCAAAAAATATTAATACAAAACTTAAATCATTAATTTTAATATTTGTATATGAAATTTTGAAAAAACCTCTTTGTCTCTGACACTCTGAGATGGAATTCCAACCCATGAGCTTTTACAATTCCATCCCAGGTCCTGGGTAACTCAGTGGTTAGAGCGGTCGCCCGGATTGCGATAGGTCGTGTGTTCGAGTCCCATCAGAATGCCAGGGACAAAATTGTTTTTTTCATTAGGAATATTTTTCAGCGTAATATTGTGAATGCAAAATTGTTAAAGTACAATAAAATAAAAACCTCTTTATAAATAAATACGTATTAAAGGCCTATATAAATCGTATGAAAAATTTTGTGCACCGATTACAGATTTTATATGTATTTTAGTTTCTAACAATAGAAAACTGTTAACGCATACTAATTGTAACATAATTCAACAAACAGTAAATATCTTATTGTAAACGTCCTCAAACTCTTCTAAAACTATCAATAAACGAATGACATTGCCATGCTTTTCGAGTGTGTTATTATAATTATATCACCTTGACCCACGCTACGCTAGAACTTGTATAAGCAAAATGTTCTGCTGATTCATTATATTGAGCAACAGGGGTCTTATTATCTAATTTTGAAATCTATTGCAATCACTTTCAATTTGACATATGAAAGATATTCAAGAACTTGACGATACCACTGTTTGGCATGTGAATAATAATAATAATAATAATTTATTTTGCTAGAAACATGGTTACATAGATGTTAGGATAGGGTACACTGGTCAGCATATTTCGCTAAATATTCAGCATGCAAAATATAAAAATGTCAAAGTTAATCAATGTCACTACAATTACCGAACACAACAAATAATGTAAAAATTTGCAAATTGTAAATTATGTCATAATCAAGCAGAATCAATATTAAGTCATTATTACTGTCAATACTAAGTCATTATTAATGTTTAGTTA